GCAAACATCCTCCAAGGGACACAGAGGAGGGGCCCCACCACACAAAACAGCACTTCACACACATGGCTTCAGCGCTGAAAGTCCCAGCCTTTGAGTAGACTTCCTCAAAAGAGTAGAAATACGTTATCAAAGTAAATATAGGTTTTTATTGTTTTCTTGAACCCAAATTTTAAGGGAAAAGCTTCCACTTTTTGGAGAAGTTTGTGTGCTGGAGCATTTGTGGATGTGCCTATGGAAGCCGGGATATTTTTCTTTCACTTTCCTCCTTTTCTTTCTTTTTTTTTTTTTTTTCTCAAATGGCCAGAAAGGCCTGGGGTGTTTTGCTTTCATTTTGCCGTTCCAGCTTCCCAAAGTTCTCCAGCTTTGTAAATATTTGAAAGGGAGACAGAAGGAAAAAGCCAAATCAAAGCTGTCCTCGTGGCCACTGGGAGGCAACTTTCTAAGCGGGAGGGCTAAACTGCCCCCCGCAAGCAGCCAACATGCTCAGCACTGAGTGGCTTTCACTTTGTTGGAGAGCTGCAAAGGAAAATAAAGGCAAGAGAGGGAAAAAAAAAAAGCTTCAACAATTCCAGTGTGCAAATGTTTTCAAAGTTCAAGCTTATAATAATCAATGTTGACTGTTGAATTATTAGGAATTATGAATACTGACTGCTTACAACTGAGGCGTATTATGGTTCTGAGTATTATGAGCATTCAATATTCACTCCTCTAAGGGAGGTTTGGAAATGCGTTTCTTGCTGAAAGCAGCACAACTGAAACTGCTACTTCTTTAAAAAAAAAAAGACACTTCCTTTTTTTAGTGCCCTCTCTGCGTATTGAAAGCGTTTTGACAGGTTCCTGCAAGGAAACGTGTTCTTTCCTTATTGGGGTGAACTCTTGATCCTGGCAGTACTGCGCTCATTTAGTCCAGCCCCTGCACAGCCCCCGGCCCTGGCCACGCTGACGCAGCTCCATCCTTGTCCTCTTCCCTGTTGCTTTCTAGCACTAAGGGCAGCAGGAAGCTCCTTCCCCTAGTTGCTTTCCAGACCCTGGAGGAATGCCCCGTGCAGTGCAGGTGCTCAGTTTGCTTTTGCCCCAAGACTCCTCTGGCTCCTGCAGCTCTGCCAGCTGCCACGGAGGATGTGGGCACCCACCCAGCGTGTGTGCAACCGTGCGTGCGCCCACGCATGTTTTCATGCAGTGGAGCTCTGTGTCTGGGGCTGCACTGTGACGCCAAAACCGATCTGAGCCTGCCTCTCGCATCCTCTTTTATACAGGGTTATATTTAACTGGGCTTCAGTCCCTGCAAGCGGTGCAGCCCCGCAGGTGGGAAGGAAGAGTTGGGAGCCAGGAACACTCCCAATGCAGCCATTGCTGTGTGGTCAGACGGCTCCAAACCTGGCTGCTTGTGCATGCTGGACGTACAGACGCTCACACGCACACGCAGGGCTTTCTGCAAAGTGCACGGGGGCAAGTACGCTTACGCTACCTGCTCTGCAGATGTCCAGATATGCTCACACATGCATTGGAGATGCAGGTGCACAGCAAAACTGCTGCTGTGCCGGCCCTGCACCGCCGCATGCCTGCGTGCAGGGGTTGCTACGTGCATGCAATACACATTTGTCACATGAGGACGCAGCACGTGCTACATGGCTCTGCACCACGATGGCCATAGGCCTGCGCGGTGCAGGGATGCGGCGTCCTGGAAAAGCAGTGGCTCCCTCACCAGCACCTGGCTCTGCAGAGAGGGCACTAGCCACCCCCTGCCTCACAGGGCACCTACCCCCCAAAGTACATGCATGGTCCCTCGTTTGCCCTCGAGGTGCCAGGGTGGGTACATGGACACCAGAAAGCCAGGAGCTGAGAGCCTCAGCTGCAATAGCAGATGTTCATCTCTGCGGTCTGCAGGGTGGGCCTTGTGGGGCGTGAGCAGGAGGGATTGTTTCTATGGGACTGAGGACTGTCCCTAAGGGACTACACGAAGGGAAGGGGGAAATGGGTCAGCACCAGCCAGTCGCCTTGGTCTGGAGGTGCCTGCGAGTGCTGCGAGTGCTGCAGCTGCTGTCCCAGGCTGCTCACCCTCAAACCTCCTTCCCCAGGTGAGACCTCAGTGAACCACAGTATCTCACACAAACCCTTTCTGGCCCCCACAAACACCATCCCCAGAGGCAAAAGAGAACCAGACAATGCCCTGAGGACACTAATTGGTGCTAACTGCCCTGAACAGCCTCACCTGGGGCCCCCACCCACCTGAAGCTCCATAAACTCAGCCCTGGACTTCCCCTCTTTTCCTTAGTCAGGGAGGGTCCAGGGCAGTCCTGTGTGGATCAATTCAGGGAGTAGTTTCCAAGCCCTCCTGCTCCAGGAAACCTAAGGTAGCTAGTGCTAGGGGGGCCTCTGGTGCTACATGACTGCTCACGTATTCCTACCACAAGTAGGAGATGCTAAGAGAAGTCCAAGAGGAAGTGATTGCTGCAGGTCCCTGAGATGAGCAGAGACTGTGAACAGCATGTGGCAGTTGAAGTGCAAAACAAAATGTGTTGTAGCAAGGTTTCCAAGGCAGCTCTGCTGTGCGAGTGGTGTATTCACTGCCTGCAACCACATGATTTTATCAGTGTTACATTTCCCTTCCCACTGCTGGCTCTCACCTCCTGCTAATTAAACCCACTTACTCTGTCCTGTGAGCTGAGCAGGGCCTGGACCCTATTCCATGCTTTTGTGGTACCCAGAGATCCTGCCTGGTATTGTCCTGGGAGGAAAGAGTTGTATGCAGGGACCTGCTGAGATCCAGTTTTTCTCACCATGCCATGTGGTGGAGTCCAGCGCATGCCAAGCTGCCCTGGAAGGGGGTCATGTAAGCCGCTGTTTTGAAGATACACAGCTACCAGAGAGAATGCAGGTAGGTGGGATCAGCTATTTGAAATCTTTCTGGTCTGTTGCTTAGTGGGTTTTTTTTTCCCTCCTAAAATGAGGAGCTTGGAGTTTCAGTATTCAGACGGGATGGCAGGCACCTAGCATGCTGTTAGATGTGAGATCATTAGAGCTAGTATTAACTCCCTACAGCACAGGTCTTCATCTAATTGGGTCATCTAGACCCTTTACAGTCAGTGTGGGAGACAGGAATTAGCGGTGATTTGTCTGCACTGCCTTAGATGCCAATCTCAGGAAGAGATGACACATGTCCCATGGAGACAGTCTAGCTAGCTCAGATGTACACATCTGTACTGTATGAATCTGGATTTGGCCAGTAAAACTCCTGAAGAGGATGTTCACAAAGGGGCTCACCCAGAGTGAGCGGAGGGCCAAGGCTGGTTCTTCCCCATGCAGGAGCAATGGCTGCAAAACAGAGTATCCTGCAGGGGAGAGGCACTAGCACTAGCACTCCCCACCTGTGGGACCTTTGGTTGTTGCAAAGTACAAAGCAGCAGGGATGCCAATCCCAGGTGATTTGCAGTGATACGAGCTCCCCTTCCGATGGTCTTCAACACCTCCTGAGTGCAGAGAAGCCATGACCAAGATCTTGCTCTGCGGTGGAGCAAGCTTTGAGCAGGGCTGGGTTTTATAATGGCAAACAGGCCTCCCTTGGAGTGACTGTCCCAGGTAGCGACCCAATGGCTTTCCCCGAGAACTGCTAACACTGCACAGCTTAGTGACAAGAAATGACTTCTATCAAGGATGTGACAAGGCAGAGAGGGGCCAGAGATACAGTGCAGTCACTTGCCTGCTCTGCCTGCGCGTGCGAGCGCTCAGGAAAGGCAAAGCCCCACTTTGCTACAGTGTCATGCTGTCAACTCTTGTCTCCTCGGATCATATCAAACGCCAAGAGCTTCCTCCCTGCTCGCCCTGCAAGTGACCCCCTGGAACACAGGGCCCGGTCCTCGCTTTGGGCACCCGAGTTGAGCTGCCAGTTCTTCGGGATGCCGTTTCCAGGATGGCATTCCCTGGGCCGCACTGGTGGGGAGCGGGACGGTGCGGCAAGGCCCCCTCGGGGTGGGAGCCCTGGAGGCAGAGCTGCGCTGCCACCTCTCATAGCTGGGGAGCAGCTGAGCGAGAGGGAAGCTGGAAATGGCCTCAACCCCCCTGGGCCTGTAGCCGATGCACGGGACCTGGCCATCCAGCAGGGCTCTGAGGAACCTGGCTCTTCCGGCCTAGGGAGCTGTGAAGCGCAGAGCAACGCGGCACGGCTGCGGGCCTGGAGGCGGGCGGCAGCAGGAGCCCTGTGGCCGGCCGAGCTCCCCCAGGGCCGGCGGATTAGGCACGCATGTCCCTCGTCTGACAGCTCAGGATTGCAGTACCCCGACGCCTAATCAATAGGCAGCAAACATCATTCCCGCATGATTTCCATGGAAACCGGCAGAGCCCGCTGCTATTGGAGGGCTCCCAGGAGCCGCGCAGCCCTGCCGAGGTGTAAGGCCCGTTTTAATATTGATGACTTGGCAGTATTTGTGCGGGTGGCTTCAGCGATTCCCGAGCAGGCACTGGAAAAATCCAGCAAGCGGCACAGACAGATTCCTTGGAGCGCCGCGAAACACTGACAAGTTCCCCAGCCCCTCCACCTACGTCATCCCTCTGGCTGCGCGAGGATGAGGCGAGCGCTCAGCCAGGCCTGGCCTCTCTAGGCGAGAGCCTCGGACACTGAGGGAAGGCGCCCAGATGCCTCCTGCCCTGGGCATGGGGCCGGGGGCCGCGCGCGGCGGAGCTGCGGCTGAGCGCAGGAGCCAGCCCCGGCACGGCACCGCTCGTCATACAGCCTTTGTATGACGGGGAGGAGGAGGGGGAGCGTGCTGTGAATCTCCAGCCTGCCAAGCCTGACAGATCAGACAAGGATGGTGCCTCCTCCAGTGGAGAGATGCTTCTGCTGCCTCCGAGCCTGCCGTGAGGAAGCGCAGCCCGGACTGCTCACGCCGCCGGAGCTGTGATGCCTTCAGGGTTTCTCTGCTGGCTCCTGGAGCTCCGTGTGGTCCTCGCTGCATCAGGGCGAGTCCGTCGCTCAGGAGAGGTGCCGTGCCCCAGCCCGCACCATGGAGGAGCAGGAGGAGAGGGCGTCTCACGTGGACCTGCCGCAGAGAGCAGCGTGGCAGAGCTGTGCTCTGGTGCCGGGTGACACCATCCCTGTGGCCTCTGCCTGCCTGGACATGGCTGTGGTGACAGGCATGCGTGAAGGTGGAGCCCTTGGGGCAGAGGATGGTGACAAGGCGACCCCTCCACTGCCCCCAGGAGTGCCAGAGTTGGGGTTGCAGGAGAGCAGAGCAACCCAGTCCCACCAAGATTCCCTGCGGACCCTCCCTGGACAAGCCCAGGACCCCCAGCAGGACCCACCACCTCAAGCGCCGGCACTTGATAGGCCCCTGAATGCGACGGATGGGCTCGAACACGACCAGACAGAGAGATCCCCCCAGGTAAGGCAGCTGTCGCTAAACGTTTGCTGCCAGGTGGGATGTCGCGGTGGGGATTTCAGTGAGACAGACACAGGCTGGGGGACTTGTGACCTTGATATGCCATAGTCAGGGGCAATAGCTGTGCTTGGCCATGGCTGAGCTACTGGTAACACTGATGTGGGGCCGGGAGCTGCCCGCAGAGGCTGGTGCTGCAGTGTGCTGGAGTGGAAGAGGAGGATGTGCTCTGCTTGCTGCCCTTTGGCAGGGTTTTCCAGCCGGCCCGTGTCTGGAGGTGCCTCGGGAGCTCCCCAGAGCCTCCTGTGCACGGGCTGCCCGGTGCAGACTGGCCCCGCACGAGGCTGGGCGGGTGAGCAGGCTCCTCCGTCACTGCAGCATCTCTCTGTCTGGCAGCGCCAAAGGCTCTGCTGCTTGGAGAGGGGACGCGATCCCCCGGCACCCTCCTCCGGAGCATCCCCTCTGCTCTTGTGCTAGCCTGGTGGGGAGGATGCTCATGCGGGGGACCTGAATTTCTCCCAGCAGAGAGAACCAGAGCTCCCCTCACGAGTGTGGTGCCCTGTCCCTGGCCACATCTCTCCAAAAGCAGCCCAGAAAGCTTCCTCGGAGCCTCGTCTCCTCAAACGGGGCCACAAAAGTTCCCTAGCTCCATCCTTAGGACAACTCACCCTCCTGTCCCTTAGGTAAAATCCATTGCCTTTCTCAGACCTCCTTGGAATCTAGGGTAGCTCCACAGAGCTTTAAAAATAGCTGGGCAATAAGGTCTCTGCCTGCTCTTTCAGAGGATAGGCGGGGGGAAGAGCTGAGCAGCGGATTAGCCTGAGGTTTTTGAGCTATGCGGACGCCGGGCTCCTTGGAGCCTCTGTGCATGGCTGGAGAGTGGAGAGCCACAGGGAAAACCGTGGTGCTGGAAACCCTCTGGGAGAGAAAATGGTTTAGCTCAAGCACTGTGCAGTTTCTCGTGTGCCATTTTTGAACAGCTATTTATTGTGATGTTCAGGGAAAAGATGCATTTAATTATCCAGTCCTTAGTCTGCCTCTAATCACAACTCCTGGGTGCTGCAATACAGCTCCAGCTAAAAAAATGGGACAGGAGAATGGGAAGCATTTCTGTTCCTGCTCTTTTTTTATACACCCTTGAGAATGAAATCAGTTGTGCCAAATTTACTGTCCTCTCTCCCTTTGGGAGAGACAGCTGCGGGGGGAAGCAGCATGTCAAGACATGGGTGAGGGAGCCTGGGTGTGAGATCTAGGAGAGGGACTGCCGTCCATGCTGGCGACTGCATTTTTCCTTCCAGTGACTGGATTTTTCCTTCAGGAAGCAAGAAACATATCCAGGACTACCTTGCCCTAGCCTGAGGCCCAGGTGGGTGGCAAGGTGGCAGGGGTATGGTGCAAATGGTGTTCGTGGGCGCTCTGGCAACACCTCAATGGCCAGGGCCATGCACCAGCCCTGTCCGTCCCCTGCTGCAGTGCCCTGTGTGCCAGCCATGCACACACACGGTGTTGACGGGGTAAGGACCCTGCTTGGTTCCTAGGACAGCGGTGCTGAGTCCATCTTCCCTCTGTCCTTTTGGCTGGATCCTGGATGCTCCTAGTTTGGTGGCTCACTGTCATTTCCATTTTCTGCCCTTCTCTGAGGCCAATTTTGTGGAAGCACCATAAATTACTGTTACTATCTTAAAGAGTGAGAGTATGAGATTGCCACCCATCACTGTGGCAATGCCGTGGTGGTACTTGTTGGTACAGGGAAGGTACCATGGTGGTATCAGAGCAATAATACGGTGGTGCTTGGCAGTATCGTGGTGGTGCTCTGAGCTGTGGTAGTGCCACCGTGGTCCCATCATTGGTTTTGGCTGGTTTCCAACACTGGTTTTAATTCCCAGAAAAGTTAGGTTGTCTTTCTGTGGGGAACAAAACCAGCGCCTCCTTCTGACTTCAAGTGATGAAGAAGTCTCATGGCTAGACAGGGCTCTGGCTCAGACCAGGCAGGAGCTCAGCATTGCTGATGGGGGCACAGCAAGCACAGGTGTAGCTGGGCTGTTGAAATTGCATCCTCAGATGTATTTCCTAGGGAACAAGGTACCATATTCTGTCTGGAGACCATGAGGACAGCACATCTTACACAGCATCTCACCAAAGGATGGTTCTTCCTCACCAACCTGGGACATGAGCTGTAGGTGCCATGTGTGCTGCTGTCAGAGCTGGGCTTCCTTTGAGAGCACAGGACATCTGTCCTTGAGATGTCAATGCTGCATTATGCAAACAGGACAGCTGCCTGCAGGGAATAATTTCCTAATGTTAGGAAAAGCCTCCTGAGGGCTCATTCCTGGCTCGCAGAATTGATTAAAGGTGATTTTAGAGTGAAGTTCTTGCTGGGTGCACCAGCTCTGTCTGCTCTTGCTCTCTTATTCCCTTAGGGCAGATGTTAAGGCTGTCTGTAGGTCAAGTCAGCATTAGATTTATTGCTCATGTCCCTCCTGAGTGTGGAGAGCTGCTTACCCCATTTAGGAGCTGGCAAGGGACCTCTGGAATCAGAAGTGGGTTGGGGGAGGATGCTTGGAGTCTCCAGTCCAACCCAGAGCAGGCACAAGGGCAGAGAAATAGCTCTCATGGTGAGAATCTGTGGACACTGAATATTCTAGGTTCTCAGAACAGTGAATATCAGAGAAAGAGAAAAATGCTGTCTGTGTAGGAAGACTGTGGTTGAAGTGGCACAGATAGTGTTGCTGGAAACTGGGAAGTTCCCATAATGCTGCCAAACTGATCTTAAAGGACTTCCTAGTGAGATCAGTAGCCGGTGTATCTTATGGGATGCAGCTCAACTGGGAGCTGCTTTGATCCTGGAAATGGGGGATGGTCGGGGATTAGTGAAAACTTTCTTGATGCTCTAAATTGATAGGGGGAGAGAAGCACCTTCTCCTTCCTTCACCTTTTGAATGTTCCCCATGCCCTTCACTTCCAGAATTACCCTTCCTTCTACCAACTTCCCTAGACCGCACTTGCAGGTGGGATAATCTCAGCAGCTGACCATATCCCTGTTCTGACATCCCGTTAGCCACAAAAACAAGGAACACAGCTAGAGTGCTTGGAGTTGGCTATCAGGAGTACCTCCAAATTTAGAGGGATCTGGATCTCTTACATCCGAAGCATACAGCTTTGCCTGAAGCTGAGGGCAGGGGATGCTGTGGGTATTCAATAACTCTGTAAAACCCAAATGACGATGCTTAAGGAGCTTCAAATGACTAGGAATTTAAACATCCATGAAAGAAGCAGTTGCTCACAGTGAGTTGCAATAACAAAAAATACACATTAAATCAGAGTTATATAATACTTGTAAAGATCCTATGCATCAAGTCTTCAGACCAAGCTGGTTTTAACAAGAAGCTCAATGACTTGCAGGAATTTCTCATATCCCAGGAGCTTCAAATGCTCTCAGTTAAAGATGGAAAACTGCTTATTAGAGCAGAAGAGCTGAACCTCTGACTAAGAAGTAGATCCCCTTTGCTGGGTATTAAGGCTGTTTCTTGCTGATGCAGCCACTATTTCCCACATTTCCATTAATAAAATATCCAACTCCATCTGTTCAAGATTTAAGTAAATTACTTCATGTCTTGCCAAAACTCACTCTCATGCAAACAACTTTGAGTATTTTCTGCAGGCATTCTGCAAGTGTGACCAGCCTCAGAGCCACCTGCCATGGAAATCCACCGAGATTTAATTTTTAGAAACAACAGCAGAGAACTCAGGGCAAACTGTATAGAATTTCCCTTACTTTCCAAAGGAAGGTGCTTCCACACAGCTAACATTCAGCACGAAAACGTGCCCGGGTGGTCTGGCCAGGATTGCTTGTGTGGAATGTGGAGGATGAGGAACACCAACCATTGTGTCCTCATTGTGTCCTGTGGCTCCTCTGGACAAACTGGTTTTCAGACAGACCTTGGAGTCCAGGAGTTGGCTGTGATTGTGGTATGACCACTTGTCTTGACCCCTTTCTCATTTCACCTGCTCTAGTTCAGACATGGTGGCTCACCACCGGCTCTGGCTCTTGGCCCCTGGAAACTGCAAATCAGGTAGTCAGGATGAGAGCTGTGGAGCAGATGTATGTGCTAAACAACTGAACTGAGAGTATAAAGCCTTTACCTCCAGCTCCACGATATATCTTGTAAAATAGAAGAGTGCATCTGTCTCAGTATCCTTCAGAGTATCAAGAGATCCAGGAAATCTAGCCTAGCTTTGAAGAAAAGCAGACTTCCAAAGCCACAAATAATGCTGCTGAGGCTCTGAAACAGGAAGATCTGGCGTGTGAACTCTTCAAGCCATCATCTGTATCAAGGTAGCGGCAGGTCTGCATGGGGAGGGAATTTAACAAGACGCAGTTTGATGGCCCCTCAGGGCGAAACCCTGCTGAGCTCTGCTGTGAACGGGGACTTGGTTCCCAAGGGCTTTTATGGGCATCAGAAAGTTTCACTGTCCTTGAGAGAATGGCTCTTTGGGCTAGCATTTGTGTTACAGGGAAGATGAGAGATCAAAGAACAATTGTCCCTGCTCAAGCTCGCAAAATACCAAACTTGAAAAGAGTAAAATGGTATCAATTGTCCATATTATTTTTTTGCATATTTACTACATAGATTTGTTACATATGGCATCTAAAAAGGAAGCCCAGATGCTCTGTGAAGACCTCAGGACTCCTTGGCCTGCTATGCTGGGAGCTGGAGGCTTACTTTGGTTCAGATCAGAAGAACAGAGAGTCCAAACACCTAGAGAAAGCCAGTACCCATGGGGTTTGTTCAAGAGATGATGGACAATGCAGATGAGTAAGAAGTAGGAGACATGAAGTCATCTGTGTTCTGTACTCACACAGCAGCTGTTAACACATTTACTTCCTATTAGCTCTACTTTTTGCTTTTCTCTAGCCTGAATGTTGCTGGTTGCGCCTACTACTTCTCCTCAGAGTCAAGTGATTTGCTCAGTAGTAGCTAGAAAAATCTGTAATGGTGAGAGGGTAGCTTGGCTGTTTCAGCTTCCAATTGTCACCTGAATTTTGAAGCCAAATGCAGACTTCTGCTTCCCGAGGTGTGTAGACGGGGAAAGGCACAACAAGGGATGCAGAGAGTGCCGCAGAGCAGCCTGAAGGCAGGAAGGTGGTGTGGCTCTACCTTTAGGAGCTTATTTTGCACAACCCCTTGCTGTGAGT